TCAGGAAAATATCCAGGAGTGGTGTAACTGGGTCAAATGGAATTGCTGTTTTTAGTTTTTTGCAGAATCTCCGTACTATTTTCTATAATGGTTTCACTAGTTTGCATTCCTTCCAGCAGTGTAGAAGGCTTCTGTTTGTCCCGCATCCACACTAGCATGTGTTTTTTCTGATCTTGATGATAACTGTTCTTTCTGGGGTAAGGTGGAATCTGTGTCTTTTGACTGAATTTCCCTAATGACTAAACATGTTGAATGTTTTTTCATGTACATATTGGCCATATGTGCTGCTTTATTTTGAGATTGCCTGTTTGTTTCATTTTGCTTATTTTGTATTGGGTTATTTGGTTTTGGAAGTCTTAATTTCTTTTAGTTGTTTATATAGTCTAGATAGTAGGCATTCATCAGAAGAGTGCCCGGCAGAGCTTTTTTTGGCAGGACTTCACAATATACACTCTTGCAACTTGCCTTTCCATTGTAGAAGAAAGTCCTGCTGTGTGCTCTCATAGTTCAGACTACTCAGGAGGCTGACACAGGAGCATCCCTTGAGCCTACGCATTATGGACCAGCTTGAGAACAGCAAGACCCTGTCTCAAAACAAAATTTTAAAAAAGGACTGGGGATATAGCTAAAGTTTATAAAGTTTAGTAGCTTCCAGGTTTTATAAAAAGCATATGACTCTATTCTATATGACTCTATTCAGCCTACTTTGGCATTCTCCCTCTGTAAAAATTGGTTCTGAAGCGTTTCTTATTGGCAGAGCTTGGAATTAAGCTTAGATGTTTTTCTTATGTGGGGATTGACCCCATGACCTTTGCATGCAGCAACATCCCCAGTCCTTTTGTCTTTAGCCTCTGGGGTACCTTGGGTTATAGGCATACATCATCAACACTGGCCCAGTTCTGGGGCCAGGAGGTTGGTTGAGTCAGGAGAATCACAAGTTTGAGGCCAGTTTGGACAACCTAGTAAGACCTCATCTCTGAAAATTAGAAAGGGTTCTAAAGAAAAAATAAAGGGGTGTAACAAAGTGGTAGAGCACTTGCCTAGTGTTGGGTTGAATCTCCGGTACAATAAATAAACAAACAAGTAGGTAAAATGTATGTGGTAAAAATAGTCTGTTTTAGACATTTTCAGGTGTACAGTTAGGTGGCCTTAAGTAGGTATCCTGTGTAATTGTCACCACCACTCTTTTTCTACAACTTTTCATCATTTCAGTTCATTCTTTTTCTTTTCTTCAATGTGCAATATGCTATTAATCCCATTCATTATATTTTTCAGACAATTAAATGAAAAATAGCTGCATTTTATTATTAGACATATCTCTTAAACTCATTTTTTCTTCCACTCTCCTGAAAATGTGAATATATACCTTATTTTCATGTTCTAGTTCACTAGTTATACCACTTAGGAAGTATAATTGAAAAATATGATGGTTAAATTGAAAAGAAATTTATTACAGGAAAAGACACACTGCCATTAGTCCCCTTCAGAATTTCCCACCACACTTCAAACATACTTGTCCCATTGTTCATACTACTTCCTAAAGCAGTTCTGGAAGTCTTTTCTCCTGAATATTTTTAACTCTGCTGTCCTGGCTGCCTCTGTATCCTGAAATGTTTAAGGCAATTTTTGTCAAATAAAAACATTACAGTGTGTCATCTACCTTATTCACTGGACCTGTCATAGCAGTGTGACTTTTGGCTCTTCCCCCGAAGTCAAATTGACCATAAAATGTAAATGTTTTGAATGGTCTGTTCATGACATCCAGGCAGCCAGGACACTACAGTTAAAGACACTTAGTAAAGAGGACTTCCAGAACTGCTTCAGAAAGTGATAAGAATGATGGGATAAGTGTGTTTAAAACTAGAGGTGTGTTTCAGAAAGATTAATGGCAATCTGTCTTTTACTGTAACACGTTAAAAAATTTAAACATTCACCATATGTTTTGATCTTTAATCACACCTTGTATATCATTTCTAGGTTAGTATTTATTGGTGGCTTTTTTCTTCATTACTGTCACAGTTTTTCTTTCTTTGTTTTGTTGGTACTGAGGCCTTCCTACTGACCTATATCCTCAGCCCAGTTTTTTATGTTTTATTTTGAAACCAGGGGCTAAGTTACCCAGGCTGGTCTTGAACTTTTGTCCTACTTCTGCCTCTCAGTACTGAAATTACAGATCCCTCTTTCTTTTTAATACCTGAGGGGTTTACATTGGATACCAGAAATTATGAATTTTAGAGTATTGGGTTTTATATTTTGGGGATATTCCTTTAGATATTTTGGGGCATTTTTCTGGAATGTAATTAATATACCAGGAAACAATTTTATCCTTTAGAAACTTGCTTTTATGAGGGTTCAGAGCAGCCTGTAGTATAGATCTCAGTTGGCCCCACTACTAAGGACTGTCTTCAGTGCTTTGTGAGTCAGGAGGGCTTACCACCCGTGACTGGTTGGGAACACTAGTTGTTTCCTGCCCTTGGTTAACTGCAGGGATTACCTTGCCTGCCCTCCCTGTCTGCAGAAGCTCTATCACTGGCCACATGTGCTGAACAGGACTTAGCTGTAGACTCAGGTTAACTCTGCTCACTTGCACAGAGCTCTTTCTGTGCTGCTGCTCTCTTGTCTGCTGTGTCTCATGACCTCTACCTGCATCAACATCACTTACACTAGCTTGTCTTTCCAATCCAGGGAGATCCTGGGTCTTTGTCTTTCTTTTCTCTTATTGATAGCCTGGAAACTCCCCAGGCATCTGGGTAGATCTTGGTTGATCACTGAGTATATTTTGTTTCTCTCTTCTGATGAATCACTGTCTTTTGCTACCTTTTAACTGAAAACTGTTATTTCATAATTTTGTCAGAGTTTTCAAGCCATTGCTTAAGGAAGAATATTAAATCTGATCCTGGGGTAGAAGCAGAATCTCTTGACTGCTTATTTTGCAATCTTTTTAATTGATTGCTTGGAGGATGAATTTGTAGTGACCCTATTCCTATTCATAATTCAAGTATGTTTCTGTTCATGTTGCTTAAGCGGGTGTTCTGATATAAAATGATGGGGGGAATTGATGGGATAGTATGTCTGAGAAAACCTTTAAAAACCAAAATACTGATTTATGACATCAAATCACAGTTACATTTTATATAATTTCAATTGCCTTGAAAATGAATGGGTTTCATGTTTATGGTCTGGTTTGCAGCGTGAGTGTATCTCTATCCACGTGGGGCAAGCAGGTGTCCAGATTGGCAATGCCTGCTGGGAACTGTACTGTCTTGAACATGGAATTCAGCCTGATGGTCAGATGCCAAGTGACAAAACCATTGGCGGTGGGGACGACTCATTCAACACATTCTTCAGTGAGACTGGCGCTGGCAAGCATGTGCCCAGAGCAGTGTTTGTGGACCTGGAGCCCACTGTTGTTGGTATGTGCTGAGGCCCAAATAGTGGCCTACCTTGAGGGGGTGATAGAGTCTTAGTTTAGCCCCACATGGTCTCTTTGAATTTCATAATACCATGGAGATTCTCACATTGGTTCACAAGATTTTTTACCTGCCTGTAGACATGGAAAAGTAAGTATAGAACATTTATTTGACTTCCCAAGATTATAAGCCCAAAGTAGTTTCAACACAAGATGAGAAAGAGAGAATACCTTTCAGTGCCCCCAGTAGATGACAGAATGTCACTTTACAGCCTATGAGACCCAGGCCATAGGGTCCTCTGATGGGAGTGTACTGCTGAAGGCATGCTGACATGGTTACTGGCCAGTTTGTGAGGGAGTTTTAAATTACTTCCTTTGATTTAGCAACAGGTAGGAAAGAAATATATACCTGTAGAATCACTTGTGTGAGCATGAGAGGTTTTTTCTCTTCAGTAGGAACTGAACCTGCTGTTTGTACCAAAATTTGATTTTACCTTCCTAGAGCCATCAAATGTATTTGTGGTTTTCAGAGATACTTTTTAAAAATAAGAGATAGTGTTGACATTCCATGAACACTATGCTTTGTAGAGTAAAACCATTCCCAAGTGTGTACTCATAGTGAGTACAGTAAACCTAAAATACACACTGCACACCTGGTCTCTTTGTAGATGAAGTGCGCACGGGGACCTACAGGCAGCTGTTCCACCCAGAGCAGTTGATCACAGGGAAGGAAGATGCAGCCAATAATTATGCCAGAGGCCACTACACCATTGGCAAGGAGATTGTGGATCTGGTTCTGGACCGGATCCGCAAACTGGTAAGAGCACTGAGAAGGCTTCATGTGGATGTTGTTCTGTATGGAAGGGGGTAGGCTTTGGGCTATGAAGGTCATCATTTTGGCAAATCTTATACAATAATCAAGGGTCCAACTGAGTCAGTATGGTGTTAATGTTTAGTGTCTGTTGGTGATGCACCCCTAGATCTTTACTGTCTGCTGTCTTTTGCTTCTAAGAGTAATGTATGTTCATTGTGGATGATTTGAGTCCATATCAACCTGCAAAGACAGAAAGAAGTGAGCCTGGCTTGTTAGAGATTGATGGTGTGATTTCTGCAGGCAAGGGCTCATGTCACCTGATTTTTCAACAGGCAGATCTGTGCACAGGACTGCAAGGCTTCCTCATCTTCCACAGCTTTGGGGGTGGCACTGGCTCTGGGTTTGCATCTCTGCTCATGGAACGGCTCTCAGTAGACTACAGCAAGAAGTCCAAGCTGGAATTTGCTATTTACCCAGCCCCTCAGGTTTCCACATCTGTGGTGGAGCCCTACAATTCCGTCCTGACTACCCACACAACCCTGGAACACTCTGACTGTGCCTTCATGGTGGACAATGAAGCTATCTATGACATCTGTCGACGCAACCTGGACATTGAACGCCCCACATACACCAATCTCAATCGTCTGGTTGGCCAGATCGTGTCCTCCATCACTGCCTCCCTGCGTTTTGATGGGGCTCTGAATGTGGACTTGACAGAATTCCAGACCAACCTGGTACCATACCCCCGCATCCACTTCCCCCTGGCCACTTACGCTCCAGTCATCTCTGCTGAGAAGGCCTACCATGAGCAGCTGTCCGTGGCTGAGATCACCAATGCTTGCTTTGAGCCAGCCAATCAGATGGTCAAGTGTGACCCTCGCCATGGCAAGTACATGGCCTGCTGCATGTTGTACAGGGGGGATGTGGTCCCAAAAGATGTCAATGCTGCCATCGCCACCATCAAGACCAAACGTACCATCCAGTTTGTGGATTGGTGCCCAACTGGATTTAAGGTAGGACTGAGTGATAGCTAGTTGTTGTATTTGTCAGCGTTGCAGAATCATGGTACCCTTGAGGAGCCACATCCTGTGGGGAGACTGCCATTTTTCATGTTAGTTAGGCAGCAAGGAGAATACATATAATAATAATTTGCTATGTGTTCTGTACTTTACCAAATACATTATATATATTCTTTTATTGCCACCTTTTAAAGTTCATGAGAGTAATAATCCCAATATCTGATATTTTAGAAGACAACAAGGCTGGGGCTATATAGCTCATCAGTAGAGTGCTTGCCTAGCATTGTGTGGGCCTTGCATTCAATTCTGAGTTCTATAAAAAATCGAAAAAAAGTAGAGTAAGCCTGAGACACCTTTCTTTGTCTAAAGCATCTTCAGCAGCAAGTGATAATGTGAGAATTCAGAAATGTTCTGACTGTAGATCTGGTTTCACACCCCTATTACTCTGCTTATTGCTTAAGACATTTGTTAGGTTCTGTGATACCTTTATGTGTGGTAGAAATGATGAGTTTTAGACTTTTCATGACTTCAGTCACCTGATATCACTAAATTTTAGGCAACACTTGTATTTTTGTAAATATAATTTTACATTCTAACTTTATCAAACTGTGTCAGAGCCTAACTTTCAGTATCTCACAGGGGAATTTTTCTGCTACATACTTTACAGTATTTGAAATGTGTAGCTTAGTATTGACTGTGAGCCAAAAGAAAGATCTCTCTTCTTTCTCCAAACTGGACTAGAACCTCGGCCTCACACACAAAATTTCATATTGAAAATTAAGTGGCCCCCTGTGTTTAAAGTTACCATGAAATATCTACCAAGGGAAAAGTACCATGTACTTGGAGGCCAAATCATAGGATGTCAGGCTGTAGGACCTATTGTCATCATTAGGCTAAATGCCTCACTATACCTATGTTCTACAACTTTTTGACCTCTAGTTTATTAACCCGTGACCACAGTGGTTTTCCCTGTACACTAAAGCTGTAGACCCCACAGTTGTAAGCTCTGATGAGTTCCTAAGATTTGGGGATTTGCAAGTTCCAAGGACATTCTAGATTGAAAACGACATGAAAAGAGTCACTAGACTATGTATACACTGAGTGGCCACAGCTTGGCTGTTAGACATAACTTGTTGAACTCCATCAGATGCACTTTACAAAACCGCCCTGGCACAGGCTGTGTGTAAAAGAATTTTTTTAAGTTGCTACACTTAAAGTAACTCGCAGAAAAAGGCAAGATCTACAACAGGTTTCTCCAAGCTGGAAATATATATTAAATTTTACATAGGAGATATTTCAGGCCTTTTTTAGTGATTATAGGTAGTTGAAACCTTCCATTCTGTGTTCAGTTATCAAGAATTGAGCAGAGGAACTTTTTCTTAAGCCAGTAAGACTTTTGGAAGGAGAAGACATCCAAGACAGCCTCAGGTGACAGGTACTGTGAAAGGTGCTGTGCCTTGCCTAAATTTCTTCCTCTAGCTGAGTTCCATGAGCCAGTATGGAGGCTGGTCTGTGGGATTAAAACAGTGTGGAAGGCTGAAAAGTGTGGGATTAAAAGTGAGGAGGCCAAAGCCCTCTTCCTCTTCCCCTGAGCATTTTTGTCCTTTGAAGGGTGTTCTGTGTGTATTCAGTGTGTTTGATGCCTCTTGTGCCGATGATTTTGGTTAACAGAAGCCCTGTAGATGCAGCCAAAGGTGCATGTTCCTTTTCTATAAGTAGTAGTAGACCCAGCTCGCTGCACACAGGTGGCCCCACAGAACAGGAAACTAGTAGCACTGCCACTTCAACAAGCTGGTTGGCCTGGGCTTAAAGTTGTAGGAGGACACCCCTTGAGCAGAGTGAAACCCCTGTGCCCATCTTCCTACCCCACCAACTCCTCTGGAGTCTGGCTTTGTGCCTAAGTGCTAACTACCATCTGCTCATCAGTGCAGGGAAGGGTCACTGCCTCAGCACATTCCCAGATACTTATCCTCCTTCAGTGCCAGCACAATGTTCCCCTATCTGTCCAAGTCCAAGGTTTTAAGGTGTATTACTGGGTAGGATTCTTTACACATAAGTGTATAGAATCTAACTCACTTTTCTTTTTACTAATGCAACATAGTTTGGACATGCTTATGTACCAGGACAGGGTTCTCATTCCTTTTCATGTGTTTTAAGGTTTGGATGTGTAACATTTTTAAATTGTTCCCTATGACAAACATATTTCCTGTTTTGCCATTGTAAAAAATCTACATAGACATATTTATTCATGCTCTTGTGTGGGTGAATCATCAGGAAGTGAGATTATCAGGTCAAAAGATATCAAATGTTGATAGATAAAGCAAAAAAGTCTGGTACCAGTTTTTACAGAGCATTGTTTCAATAAACTGTCATTTATGAAGCCAGTATAATTATCACTGTATATTTTCCTTCTCTGGCAGGTGGGCATTAACTACCAGCCCCCCACTGTGGTCCCAGGGGGAGACCTGGCCAAGGTGCAGAGGGCTGTGTGCATGCTCAGCAACACCACTGCCATCGCTGAGGCCTGGGCACACCTGGACCACAAGTTCGATCTCATGTATGCCAAGCGGGCCTTTGTGCACTGGTACGTAGGAGAAGGCATGGAGGAAGGGGAGTTCTCTGAGGCCAGGGAGGACCTGGCAGCACTGGAGAAGGATTATGAAGAGGTGGGTGTGGATTCCATGGAAGCAGAGGCTGAAGAAGGAGAGGAATACTGAGTGGGAGGGTGCAGCTGGCAGACATTCCTGTCTTCCACTGTCTCCTGCCACACATCAACACGGCTGCCTTCAAGTTGTTTACAATTAAAATTTCTGTATAAACTCCAAATCTTTGTGGTGCTTTCTGTTTGTCACAGGACTGGCTAGAATGTGGAAAGCTGGTCCTGGCTGCATAGTCTGCTCTTCTGGAGTAGGGTGTGAGGTCAGCATTGCTGTAATGTGTAAGGAACCACTGCTTGATGTGACTTGACCTGAGGAAAATCATATTTCAAATCCAAAGTTTCAAGCTTAAGCTTTACCAATTTATTTTTTAAAAAACCCTTCAGTTTTCTATTGAATTTGCTATTTAGGGAGCTTCTTCGTTGATGAGACTTGTTAACTAAAGCAAAAGCACTTAGAAGTGGAGGGTTTAAAGCTGAAGTGTGTGGATAGGGACTGTCCACAAAATCCCTAAAACTGGCCAAATGTGGAAGATCAGCCTGTGTTTTGAAGAGGGAGGTATTAAGTTCTGCATGGCATGCACAGATAGTCACACACAGTGCACCCAACATGACATCTCTGCACAGTCTTTTAGAGGCAGTTCTCCCACTTCCTGCTCATGCACTTCCTGCCACTTCTGTCCAACAATACCATGAACAGTACTGATAGGGAGTGCTGCACTTTTCACCTCAAGGAAGGTCTTTGACCTCTATTCCTAGAAGATCTGGAAGTACACATATTTTCAGACTCGAAAATAAGATCCCAGTGGGCAAGGTCACTGGTTTAAGTCACTCGGCTTGGCCTTGGCATAACTAGTACTAGCATATGGAACTCATAGATGTTTACTTTGTTTTTCCATAGTGTGAATTCAATTCAGAGTAGTGTATCCTAGTCAAGTATTTACAACTGAGATACTTCCCCAGCCCTTTTTATTTTTGACACAGGGTCTCTTAAGTTGCCAGGCTGGCCTTGAACTTTCAGTCCTCCCTTAGCCTCCTGAGTAGCTGGAATAACACGATGCTTCTCTACCCTCAGAAATCTTTGTTTTACTATATCCAAATGTGAGAAAGAATCTCTGATCCAGATTCCCAGCTTTTCTGAAAGGTTTAACAGAAGAAGCAGCATGTATCCTCTACTGGTAGGATGGTTATGCCCATCAGGCTGGCAAGGCCATCTCTGTTCCTGTCTACATGCTGCTCTGAGAATTGCTCTTCCCAGGCCCGCCCTCTTTGGGCACCCTAGTGGCACTGGGCTGTTAGGGCACTCTCTTGTTGTATCCTTGCTAGCTGCCATGCTCTACCGGTGTGCCTATTCTACTTAGAGCCACCTTTGTTTCTTCCTGGGAAGACAAGAACAATTGTAGGTAGTAGGGCAAACTCCATTATAGCGTACCTGCTGTATTTGTGTTGTTAGCAATGCTCCTATTGACACATCAGCAGTTAAGCTATTCCACCCAGGGATCCCACATCAGCTTAGTGTCTCAATGCTTAGAACTGCCTAAATTATCAATATCAGAGAAGGTCTTGAAAGTGCAGAAAGTGTTTTAGGTGTCTTTTAAGATCTCAGGAATGCTTTGAAAGGTCATACTCCATGTGCCCATCAAGGGAAAGGTGAATCCAGCTGGTCTTTTGCCCTGAAGAGCATGTGTGATCTGCCTGTCACTCAACACATGGCAGGAGGAACTTACTGCCTCATCTCCAGTGTGTGTTCACACTGAACCATCCATCACAACTGTCTCAATCAGAATCTGACAGGCTGGAAGCACAGCATTCACTGAGAACTAAAGACAGATTTCTATTACTGGAATCTTGTGTATTTTTCCTTCTGGGATATCCTTCAAATACTAGTCAAGCCTCATTTGAGTTTGGCTACTGATTGCATGATTGGATTCCTGCTGAGGTCTAAATACTTGAAACTGACTGCTAAATAGTCACTGACTAAACCCACTGGTTCACATATTCGTTGATGAGTAATTTGTTTACTCATCATTTTTGTAATGATAGGCAGATAAGTCTGCAGCCACGCTTGGGCCAAAGCTAAGGGTGTTGATAGCATCTGTAGGACTGAGGAGACCCTGTATGGACAACACATGCCCAGGTGTAGGTTTGTCCACACCTGGATTTAGTCCCTCCCACATGGAGACAGAGTCTCCTGTCTGGCCTGGGAAGCTCTTCCTGCAGGCTTTGACCAGGATATGACCCTGTATGACCCCTGAATGACTGATTGTGCCTCGAGTCACTTGAGCCTAAGCTGGGGCCTTGGGCATTTTTTGACACTGACCAGCTTGTGTAGTACCTTGGTTGAAGTACTGAAAGATCAACTATGTTATTTAATGTAGAAACTAGCCCAGGCCAGAGTAATGTTTCTGTGCCTAGCCAAACTCCTTGAATTTCTAATACACATGCTGACCCCCCCGCATTGGAGATATGCTCTAGGTGACCTCTTCTTCCAGTCTATCCTGAACGTGCTCCTCTATGTAAGCTGCCCTAATACTTTGGACTGATCACCCTGATATTTAGTACTTCTTTTGCAACTGGCTTCAGTCCAGATGTAGTTCATAAAGGGTCTTATATCATTAGTGAAATAATCATAAACAGCATTTCTTTCATAGTTTTCTAGAACTATGAAGAATACAAGTACTAGCCAGGTATGGTGGTATACACCTGCCATCTCAGCACTGAAGGATTTCAAGTTTGAGTCCCACCTGGGCAACTTAGACATTGCTTCAAAGTTTAAAAAAAATTTTTTTTAATTTTAAATGAATAAATAAATAGGTAAATATATAAGTAGGATTGGGGTTGTAGAATAGTGGTAGTGTACCCCTGGATTCAATCCCCAGTACCACCAGGAAAATAAAGCAGTGCTAAAACTACAAAGCTTGCAAAGGCTGGCATTTACAAAAATCAAATATATGACTTACATGAGAAGAAAAATTAATCTTGAAACCAAAGACCTAATATAAGTGTTGAAAATGATAGACAAGGATGTGAAAACAGCTAATATAACTGTGTGCTATCAATAGAAAAAGTAAATAGGCTCCTAAAAGGAAAAACCCAAACTGAAGTTATAGAGATGAAAGTTTTAATGTTTTAAATGAAAATATAATGTGGTTAATAGATTCAGCAATAAAATTATCCACATAAAATACAGAAAGAAAAGAATTTTAATTAATAAACAGCATTTATGGGTTTAAGACACATTCATGAGGCCTACAGATCAAAATTTCCCAAATTTGATTAAACTCTTAAATCCTCAGGCTCAAGAATTTAGTAAACCGAAGTACAAGAAATATGAAATAACTGAATCAAGAAACAATCAAATTACTCTTAATTAGTGATAAAGGAATTTTTTTTTTCACTTTTCTTTTTTGGTACCAGGAATCGAACCCAGGGCCTCGCACTTGCCAGGCAGGTGCTGCACCACTGAGCTAAATCCCTGGCCCAAGAATATTTTTTAAAATGGCCTGAAAAGACATTATACAAAAGAAAAATACTGATGGTAGCGTTTTCTTTGGAAACAGTACAAGTAAGAAGGCCATGGAGCACCAAATTTAAAGTTCTGATAGAAAAAACATGTCAATGTATAAATCTATACACACTATTTTCAAATACTTTCATTCTGAGTAAACTTGTAGTATAATAAAAAAGTCTTTTGGGCAGAAAATAATTATCCCCACTTCCAAAGCCAAATTTATTCGCAATACCATGAAAAACACCAGAAAGGATGACTATACTGATAGATACAGAATATTATTTTCCAATTATTTAAATCCACCTAAAAGGTAATTGGTAGCCAAAAGAAAATAATAATTGATACATATTTATTAAAATAAAAGTATAGAATCAGCACAGAAGTTAGGAATGCCTATATATTATTGTAAGGTTCTTGTACTATGATGAAGTAGTAAAACATCTGAATATAGGCTATGATATATCAAAGATGTATCCCATAGAACCTAAAGCAACCAATAAAAGAATAGAGCTAAATCAATGAAAGAAAGAAAATAGAATCATAAAAAAATTGGAAAAAATAGAACAAAGAATTTAAAAAGTAGATGAGTAAAAAAAAATAAAGAACAAAATATATGAAGAGTAAATAGCTCAAAAGATAGAAATCTAATAATAGCCAAAGACCATGTAACTAGAAATGACCAAAACTAAAGGCAGACGTGGCTTTATTAGATAAAGAAGAAAGACCAAGTTTTTGCTTTCTATACCAACCATATTTCACACATAAAGACACATGATGGTTAAAAGTATATAGATGAAAAGTATATAAGTAAAAAGGGATCTGCCATGCTTATATTAGTCAAAATAAATTTGTAGTGGCTAAATACTGTATTACTATCAGCAGCAGTAGATGGCAAAGGAGATACTATGGGTAGGGATTGAAAAGATTATTTCATACTAAAAGGGGACTTGATTCATCAAGGAGAAATACCAGCTCAAAATCCTGTATTTGTGAAAGTAATAGCAAAGCATGTAAGGACAGGACGAATCAAAGTCTGAAAATACAAGAAAAATGAATCCATAAATATAGTCAATTACTTTAATTCACTTTTCACCCTAATTTATAAAAATAAAAAGAATTAACAGTAAAGATATAGAAAACTGTCACCATCAACCAACTAAACCTAACCTTCTACATCACCCACTAGCAAAAAAAAGTCCGTATTTTTTCACATGGAACATTTATTGAAATGGATTTTTTTCTGAACCAAAAAAAATAGGCTCAATAAATTTAAAAGAATTCAGTTTATACAAAGTTCTTCCTCTGACCATAATGGAATTAAATTAGAATTTAATAGCAAAAACATCCAAAATGCAGTTAAAAAACTTTGAAACTAAAAACTACCTTTCTAAATAAGAGGATCAGTGATAAAATCTGGACAGAAAACTCAGAGTATTTATTGAACTAAATAAAAAATGAAAACAATAGAATTTGTTAGACTTGTTAAAATACTTAGAAATACATAGTATAATATGCCTATTTCAGATCTATGACCTCTGCTTTAAAAGAAGCTAGAATAAAAAAGGGCAAATTATTTAAAGCAAATAAGAGGATAGATATCAATGAAATAAAATGCAAAGAACAGAGAAAGTCAACCA